AATATTAGCATGGAGGGTTTTTAGAATAAAGAAGAAGGTGTTTGACCAGAAAATGTGGATTCATTATTATTATTATCAAACAAATTCCTTTCGTAATTTAAATTGAATATTTTTTTATGCTTAATATAGCAATTTCCTAAATTAGAAAAGTTTTTTGTAGGGGTATAGCAGAGTTGTTATCGCTACCCATCAAGTAGCACACTATTAGCTACTATTTTTTAAAAGTATATAATACATAAAAATCAACATTTATAAATATTTAAATAGTTAGTTTGATTATAAATAAAATTTATGTAAAAAGACTATAATTTATGAAATAAAAACAACTATTTATGGTAATATTCATTTTTTACTTATTTTGTTGGATTTTGATAAAAAAAATCATTTCTTGGCTATCATTCTCAGTCTAGAGCGACGATCAGAAAGTATGAGTTTAGCCTAACTAAATAATTTTTCAACACTACAAGGCAGTATTTAACTTTATATACATATTTTTAATATAAGAAAAATGATCAAAAATACTTATTTGAGTATTTTTAGATTCAAAAAACGCGTCTAGAGGATTTTCTATTATATTAGTATCCTTTATTTTAAAAAAAAATTATCAGTGAAAGTTGTTTTTATGGTTATAACTAAGGCATCTTTGTTTGGTATGAGAGAATTCTGCTTTACCATGAGCTTATACTGATCTTTACCATCATCGGAATTGATATATGAGTTTAGTTTAAAATTGGGAATCATAAATCTTATTTGCAAGTACAACGCATATATGGCATCCTATTGGGTCATTCCATGTCAAATGAGCAAAAAAATCAAGGTTTTCGGCCGATCCCTTTCAATTTCAATAAAAAGCTGTAGACTGGTTATATATGTTCCCATTAGATCTTAAACGAAATTTTAGCGCATTAGCAATTATATTAGCGGAGATAATCGGGGTTAAAGGTCCAAAAAACGTCTTTTTTTGCTTTTTACTGATGTTAAATAATTAGTTTTTAATTTAAAACTAAATATGATCAAATATTGAATCTAATATCAATAGCTAAGTTAATAATTGATAATTATGGCAAAAACATCAAAATTAATTTTTTTTAAAATATGGGTCATCTTATGGTCAGTTGAAAATTTGAAATTAATATTTCGAAATGAATATGATCTCCAATTTTTAATTTTTTTAAGAAATATTATCCTTTTACTATTTTTTTAATAATTTCTTCAACAATTAGCATGGCTGGATATTTATTTAAAAAATAATTGCTATTTTTATACTTTAAAAAAATAGATGGCGCTATATATAATAGTTTTAATATGTTAAAATTCATTTTTTTATTGATTAAAAATATTTTAATGTATAATATATCATAAAATTCGATTATATTACTTTGTAAACCTTATTCCCCTGAGATATTCGCAGGATAAAAATTTTACTAATTTTTTTAATATTTCAATGTAAATTAAAAATAATTAAAAAATCCGACTAGCATGCGAACAAAAAAGCAGGATTAAAGGAGTGCAGGAAAATTATTAAGGGAAAAATCGAAAATCACATAATTACCCGGCCTACCCCCCCCAGACTAAGTCATACCCATCAAGACCAAGAATGTTATGAAATTGTCATTAACCAGAAAATTAGATTTTTAAAAAAATTTTAAGCAAAACGAAAAATTAACTAGTTACAAAATTTTGGGTATCAAATGAATTTGAGCATTCTCTATAAAATTTTTGATCAAAGTCTTTGAATTTTGAGCATATGTTTAACACTGAAAAAATTAATAAAAGTAAGTCAGCTGTTTTTATCTTTTCTTAAAATTATTAAAAATAAACTGATTAGCAAAATTAATTAGCGAATTTAATAGATAAATCACAGTTGCTAAAAATACAAATTGATTTCTTTAATATTTTTTCACAAACACTGATTCATTTCTTTAATATTTTTTCACAAACACTGATTCATTTCTTTAATATTTTTTCACAAACACTGATTCATTTCTTTAACATTTTTCTAATTTAAAAAAAACTAATTTTTTAATATTTTTACTTGTCGTTAAAAATAAATAAATTTTTCTAAATGAAACCTTTAAAAGATAAGCTAAAGTGTTGCAATCCACTGAATAAACCAAAACATAAAAATTTAAAAAAAAATTTAAGATCAGTTCTTCCATGGATGCTTAATATAAATAATGATTTATATCTTCAACAAAAAATATGTAATTCGTGCCGATACCAGTTAAGTAAAATTGGTCCACACATTCCCGAAGAATTTATATCCCCAATAACCCATAATCAGAATGCCTTTGAATCGATTAATTAAACATTACACAATATTGGAGAATCACCAATTAAAAGAAAACGTTTAATGGAGAAAAAATATCCTAAAAATAAAATTCAAAAGATTGAAAATCAATAAAGAGTAAGGTTTTAGAAATATCTGATTCCGAGATTGATAGTCCAATGAAAGAGGAAATTCTTATTATATTAAAGGATAACTTTGATAAATTATCAAAAAATCAACAATATCAAATTCTTACAATTTTGCCTCAAAGATGGAGTGTAAATAAAATTCAAGAATTCAACGTAACATCATACATGGCAAGAAAATCTAAAATGGTGATAAAAGAAAGTGGAATTCTTTCATTCCCAAAACATAAGGCAGGAAAGACACTAAACGAAAAAACATTTAAACCCTTCAAGGATTTTTATAATTCTGATGAAATAAGCTGACTCATGCCTGGAATAAAAGATTGTGTATCTGTTAAAGGCGAGAAAGAACCAGTTCAAAAAAGACTTATATTAAATAATCTTAAAGAAATATTCAAGATGTTTAAGGAAGAATACCCAAATATATCAATTGGATTATCTAAATTTGCCGAACTTAGATCAAAAAACTGTATTTTAGTTGGAGCTAGTGGCACACACACTGTTTGTGTCTGCGCTATTCATCAGAATGTGAAATTAATGACAAATGTAATCGTTGAAATTACAGCAGGAGAAGATTACTGTATAAATTCTTACAACTATCTTTTGGCGCAAATTATTTGTAATCCATCTCAGCCAAAATGTTATTTAACAAATTGTGATCAATGCCCTGGTATAGAGTCTCTTAAGGGACAATTATACCAATTGTTTCAGAGAAATCGTATAGAATATGTCACGTTTAAACAATGGATCACGGTGGATAGAACAAATCTTGAAACTATTATAAAGTCCGTTGATGATTTCATCGATTATTTATTAGAAAAAGTTCAAATTTTACTGCGTGACTCGTTTATAGCTAAACAACAAAGTTTATTTTTGAAGAATTCCAAAGAAAATTTAAAAGATGGGGAATTTTTAACAATTCTAGATTATTCTGAAAATTATTCCTTCATTTTACAAGATGAAGTTCAGGGATTTCATTGGAACAACGTGCAGGCCACTATACATCCATTTGTAGCATATTATAAATCTGGAGAAGATTTAAAAAATATAAATTTTGTTATTATATCCGAATCATCAAACCATAATACTAGTGCAGTCCACCTTTACCTAAAAAAATTTATTAATTTCTTAACAGCCAAATTTAATTCTAAACCAGAAAAATAATATATTTTTCAGATGGAGCCGCGTCTCAATACAAGAATCGCAAAAATTTTCTGAACATATGCCTTCATAAATACGATTTTAATATTTCTGCCAAATAGCATTTCTTTGCCACTGCTCACGGCAATGAAGGCTAATGCTACAAATCTTATTTTTAAAGTCTTAGGGTCTAACAGTGGCCTGTGATTCCCAAATAAGCTTTAAAAATATTAATATCAGATCAATTTATATATAAATATAAACAAGTGTTACCTTTGTATGTGTCCAAATATCTGCCGTGGCATTTATAGGATATCTCTGGCAACTCTGCTATTAGAGCATCTTTTATCACTTCAAAGTTATCTGATATCTTAATCATTAGTGTCTGGTGACATAAAATAGGGAATAGAGTTTTAATCATCATGATATGATGGATTATCAACCAACATTGGTTGAGCTGTATCAAAATCGACAATGACTTTATCAGCCAGTATCTGAGAAATATTGGCATGTGCAATATTATTAATCAATTTAATTGGTCTGGATTTGGTCTCACCTATACTAAAATTATTACGATGTTTATTTATCTCTTTAAAACTGTTGGTATGAACATTACTATAAAATAATTAAAATTTAAGAATGACAACTACCTTTAGGTGTTTTTTGAAGTTATAGTTACTAGATTTATTTGAAGATATATTTTTTTTATACTTTAAACAAATAAATTTGTAGCCACCTTTTGTTTTTACATTAATTTGAAAATATTTTTCAAATTTTAGAAATGGAAAATGTGTATTATTGTTATCAAGAACATTTTCTTCCAGGGTATCTTCCATTTCATTAATATCATAATTGTCTGACTCATTTATATCGATTTGGATATCCATTTACGATAACATTTTAAATTACACTAGCTGATTTAGGTTTATATACAAATTGAAAATATTTTAATTTCAAAATTAAATAATAAATCATAAAATTAATAATTAATTATGGTATTATATTTAAATTTTCATGTTTATATAGCTTGATTATATTTTTAAAAAGTAGGCGCTACTTAGCTACTTTCAAAAAAAAGGGCACACTAAAAAAATGGGAAAAAAGTAGAGCACTATTAGGTATTGCTACCAAAAAATATAGAGTGCTACAATAGCGCGCTTCTTTAACAATGGGGTGTCATTTTTTGATTATTTAAAAAATTGTTGGCATGAATTAATTTTTTTTATAAATAATGGGAGTGAGAGTAAAAAATTTTAGACCAATAGGTGGGTGGGTTTTATAAAAACTATGGGCTGGCAGGTAAATTTTTTTAACATATTAGATGGGCAGACTTTTAGTATAAAAACTGGCCCATTGCAAACTTCTATTGTGAACTAATTCATTTAAAATTAATATAATTTAGTTAAAAATCACATTATAATTTTAAAAAAACTTGAAATCCAAACTTTAAAGGATGAATCGAAGACAAAACGAATATCAAAATTATAACATCTATGCTATTTATCGGAAAAGGAAATTTTAAATTCACATCCTCTTGAGTGATATCGCATAAAAACACATGGCATTTTGTGGCATCATAACTAGGGTTTGACTTTAATATAAAACATCATAATTTTAAATCAACTAAGTATTATGATCATTTTACTTTTAGAACTTTAATGGCATGTTGAGAAAAGTCACAACCAAATATGTAAGAATGTTTATCCCTATAAATATACAAGTTAAAGTAATCAGGAGAAAAAAAATCTGACTTGATTTTTTCTATTATTGGGTATATTGTGTTCCCCACGCCACACCCAATTTCAAAAATATTATAAGATTCTCTTAAAAAGTCATCAGTCATCTTCTGTTCATTTAATTTTGGAAGACTGAAAAAGTATTTATACAAGGGTAAAAAAGGTAGGGTAGCATTATTTGATCTTTGTGTTATTGCTAATCCATTATTACCTTTTAAAATTCATAAAAATAAAAAAGTAAAGTGTCATATTTTTGTGATGTAAATAGTTTTATTAATAACTTATAAGTAAAATAACCATTATTATATTTAAGTTTAATGTTATATTTTTTTTCCGCTTGTTTAGAAAAGTTACAGTTAAACAATGTTCACCTATCCGATAAAACTATCGAGGCTTTAACTACAATGTATCCTACACATTCATTAAATTACAAGTCATAAAATATTGGTCCCTCCCAAATAAATATAAATATTTATACCCATGTTAAGTACTTATGCAAAATACGATTAGTAAGTCAGAATTAAAATAATGATCTTTAATTTTTTTTTAATATAGTAAGAATAATAATGTTTAAAAAAAATACATAGTTTCTTTTTAAAATGTACATAAATTTATATTATATAGTGAGCCCAGTAGAATCAAAAAATATAGCATTATGTGTGAATAATTTTTAATGCCAAAATATAGGAACTTTTAGTTAATATTTCTGAGAATTCTGTAAACAACCATAATCTGTTTTTAAAAAAATTGTTTTCATGGGTTGCATAAAATTCATCCCAATAAAAAGATGCTTTATTTTCATAATTTTCTAAAAAAAATTTATATATCATACTAATATAAAATCATATTTTATTAAATTTACTTATAGTTTCCTCATCTAATTTGTTTTTAGAGTTTTTTTCTATTATGTTTAATGCATCACTTATTTGTTCATCAGTCCAAGATGCATCATCCCTTCATATATAATATTTATTTCTGTATAAATACTATAGCATACCAAGCATTATGTAAAAATATTTCATCTGGATTTACTAGTATTCGATTTTTAGAAAAGTTATTAAGCTAACCTTGAGATTTATAATTAATTTTATCATAAAAATTAAAACCTCCATAGGACATTATCTTGGTAGTATATCAGTGGCTTTAGGGTTTGAAAACGTTTCACTTTAAGAACTTTAATACACCGGCAGATGAATCCATGTATTTGTCTTAAATGAATAAAAGTTCGCTAAAAAGATGATTTACATGTTACCTGTCATATAGGTCACATTATGTAAAATAAATATTTTATTATTGTTTTTATATTTATGAAGAAAACGCTGTTACAAAAATAATATTGAAAGCTAGAATTTAGCCCTAAAGGTTTGTGTAAAGATTTTATTCTAACATATGAGAGATAAAAAAATTTTTTTTGTTTAGCATGTTATATTTAGCCTAGTGAAAAGTGAGTATTGGCTTTGTCTATTATTGTAATATGTTTCAAATCTACCTGTAAAAAGTTCATAAATGAGACAGAAAGCATGTAAATAAAATTCAAAGTGAATATTGGCACAGCGCTCTAATGCTATATAAAACAGCAAATCTATGCTTGCACTCACATCTAATCTAATTGGAGTCAGAAATTTGGGAGTTACCTAAGTTATGAGTCAACAATATGTTAATAAATCAATAAAATAAATAGATATTTCAGAAATAATATAATACCTTTACCTTGTGAAAATCCTATATCGGTAATGTGGTCTTGTGTTGTTCATGCCTTTTTAAAAAGTTACATAAGAATGACAGATTTTTATCAACGTCAAAATAATATATCATATTCGATATTAATAAAAAGAAGCTATTCCCTTCAATCGCAACTCCAAATTTCTAAAATTTGGATTATGATGTCTGATCAAGTCTTCATAAAAATAGGCGTTAGTTTGTTATCAGCTATAGTTGTACCTATTGTAGTGTATTATATATCAAATAGATTTGAACAAAAAAGCAATAAAAACTCTATAAAGGTTTAAAAATCTATTATATTCATCCAATAGCAGTTGTTTTAGGGGAAGAAAAAGTTAGAAAACATATTATCGGCTAAAGAATTGCAAAATGTAAATTTGTTATATTATATGTTTTAATCTCAATTATTTTTATCGATAGCTTGATTCATATGAGTATGAAATTGCTTCATCAATATCATTCAAGGAACAAAACACATCATGGTCTGATATAGGTGGGTTGAAAGGGCTTGTTGACGATATTAGAAAACGTGTCATATACCCATTTATGTATTTTCATTTATTCAAATCAAATTCTCCACTAATTTCTACACCAAAAGGTTATATTTTTATTATTATATTTTCATAATTATTATATCAGTCTCATTCATTAGACATTTAAAACCAATAAAATAATCTTTATGAATAAATTCCCTTTATTATGAACAATTCTTTACTTAAAATTATTTAAAAAACTTTGTTATTTTTAGTGTGATTTGAGCTATTTAAATTCATTTCATGACACTAATATATTTTAAGACTGCTACTTGATTATTAACTTAATTTAATCATGATTTAAATAAATTTAATTTTTCGTAATGTATAAATTTTTTATTTAACAATATCTCATTCATAATTAAGAAGGTGAGATGGACACATGCCCTCAGTAAGAATAATTTGACTCTAATTAAATATGACCGCTTGTGAACCTCTTAAAATTTTAGACCAGTTTTAGTCAAGACAAAAACAGATATTGGTTTGGAAGTTCTATCTGAAGCCAAAAATTAAAATCAACAAATGGCAATATAATTAAATATAAATAATAGCCAAGAGATTTTTTGTTTTTGCTTAACAGTATATTTAGTAATAATTTTTTACATTTTGCAGTATAGTTAAAAAAAGTTTAAAATGAATTTAATTTTTTTTATTTAATCTTAACACAATATTTTCCAAAAAGTGTTCTGTCATCTTAGAATGTTAAAATGAATATATGTTCAACAAGATAATATCCATTTATAATTTAAAATATTTATAGGTATTTAAAATTAACTGAACTTTGTTAAAAAAAACAAACAGAGTTTGGTTTAGGTTTGCAAAAATTTTATAAACAGGATTCTGGTTTGGTTTGGGTTCAGAAAAGATATAAAAACTTCAGTTTGCTAATCTGGGTTTAGATTTGTCTCACAAGCCTACATCTGGTAATCTTTTTCAAAAAATCACCTGGCAAGATTGGGAATGAATAAAAATTTTGCATGAATCACTGAAAATTTTATTTTAATATGTTTCTCTTTGACTTTTATAATCACAAATAGTATTAATTTTTTAAATTATTTTATAATGAATTAATAATCTTATAATTAGGGATGTACCCAGGCGCGTACGCAGGAATTTGGTCTAGGGGGGGATAATTAATTTTTTTAAGAAATAATATTTTTAATTAAAAATACTAAGCATAAATTTATTAGGATTAATAACTTTTCTAATACACAATTTTAAACTAATGTGAATTAAAAAAATTATATATATAAACCGGCATTTAAATGTGAATCATAAAATATAAAGTGAATATAACCCACGATATGAATCACCTAAATGACCCAAAATTGAAATTTGAATTTTTTGAGCTTTTAAAATATATAAAGTATAAAAAATTTAAATGTTGTAAATATAAATTAATACACAAAAAGTTTCTTAGGAATAATTGTATTTTGTATGTTTTGAGCTAATTTTTCAATTAATAATCCTTGCTTGGCGTTAAATGTCTATGAATATTCAAAAGATCCAAATCATTCAATCTACTTTCAGATGTTGTATTTCATAGGTATGTTTTTCACAGACTTGCAGGCCCGGCCCCCGAATTTTAATTTTTTTAAATATACCCGGGCCGGGCTCGTAATTTTTTTTTATAAAAACACCCGGGCTGGGCCTGAAAATTTTTTAAGAAAAAATATCCAAGCCGAGTTGTATATTTTAAAACCAAATATTTGAAATCGCCATTATTAGCTATAAGTATCAAAAATAAATATAATTTATTTTAAAAAATACGGGCTAAGCCAGCCTGGCCGGGCCTGAAAATTTTTTTTAAAAAAACCCGGGCCGGAAAAAATTTTAAAATAAAATCTGGGCCTGGTCCTGCAAATGGTACCTCTGCAAGGCTCTGTTATTCTTCTTAAAAAAGTGAATGTTCTCTCATTAGTTTACTAAAGAGCTGCTAATATATATATAACCATTTTAATAATTGGGAGTATAATCTAAAATGTGTTTGAAATAAAAAGCATCCATAGCATTTTTTGGGACTGTATCAACCATAGTTAATCTTTTAATCATAGTTATTCAGCTAATAAGGCATCATAAGATATTTTAACATCTTCATGATAAAAATATAACAAATATTTATATTTTTTTTCTATCACCATATGAAAAAGGTTGGGAGAGGGGACATTTGTTTTATAATACTCTTCTACTGATCCTATATTAATGTTTTGATGATGAGCTTGCTTGCTGCAAGTCGAGGGGGACAAATATTTAACACGTATAGCTCTGCTTTTGACTCAACAATAACATATAAAATATGAAATTCTTCAACAACACTAGCTCTATTTCCTTGAGTTCTAATAAAATGCTCTCCGCTATTCTCATCTTCTTAATCAAGTCAATGTTATGTTTTTAAAAGTATTACATAAAATAGTTGTATAATTAAATAATACATTCTAATGAGAAAAAAAATTTGGAATAAGTATTGAATCCAATAATTTTCTTGCTTCTGAGGAAATATTTCTTTCAAGCCATTGTGATATTTCAGTAATAGCATTAATAATCAGCTCTTCTAACTCCAAAATAGCTGTTACTGTGGCGGAGACTCGATCTCGTTGGACAAGCTTGCAATTTTTTTCTCCCTGTTGGACAAGGAGTTTCAGAGATAATTATTATTTTAATAGAAATTTAGATAAATATTACGCCACTAAAATTTGAAAATAATAGGTAAATTACGCCAAGGAAAACTTGAAATCGAAATTGATTGATAAAATAACTTAGTAGATGAATGTGATAAATAAAAAAAATATATATATATGTATATATGAGATAAGAATAAATATTAACAAATATAAATTAATATTAACAATAATATTTTTGGAAAATATAATCCGGCATCTGCATTTTTTGGCTTTGGGGGAAACCTAATTTTTTTAGAAATAATTCACTGTTTAACAAAAAAAATTAAAAATTTTCATTTCTTTATTTTTACTAATGTTTTCTAAATGTCAAATTTAATATCAATTTCTTTAAAGGTAATTAGCCAGGTATATTTTCTCAGCCCGGCTAAGCTTCAGTGGATTTTCCTCCATAGCCATCAATCGTTTACAAAAGAAAAAACAAACAATTTAAATAAATAATATTAGTATCAGGTTTGGCTGTGATTCCAACGATTTCACGCCTAATTTTGGACTACATTTTTTGTGAAAATTTGAAAAATCACTTTCTTCCCTGTGGAAATTTATTTTTTTTCTTGAATATTTTCGCCTTTTTTTATAATGTCATAATATTTGAATATAAAGTATTGTTAATAGAATCCCTGCAAATTTAACAATTTTTTTCGTTCCATTCCAAAATTTTTTAGTCCGACCGTAATTTCGATTTTAGACTCTCCCTTAATTGAATAGTTATAAGCATTTTGCGCTAATTGGTTTGTCTTTATTCCAAAAAATTTTAAATAGTCATGCTATTATAAAAGAAGTGGATATTTATTTTTTTTGCATCTGAACTCCACTCGATTTTTAAAAAAATATTTGTAGGTTCATGTCTGAACTAATTTTTCAGGTCCTTATCTCAATTCTTGCTGACGACTTTTTTTAAAGTATTCAGGAATTTTTTGGTACGTTCGATTAGGTTCTGGTTTTTTATGATAAAAGATTTATGCTATCTATTCAATATATCGTTACAATAGTTTCAGACATTGTAAAAGGTAGATAGAACCAAATTGACTTATAGTTTAAAAAAAATAGTGATCTACACCAATGCATGAGTAAAACCATTACTAGAATATATCTTTGGTTAAACAAAATGCATTTAAAATTTTTTATTTTTTGCATTACCAAATTTTTGGTTTAGAATTATTCACAAGGGCATTTTGTTTTCATTTTTCTATTTTAATTATGAATACAACTAATTTATAAAAAAAAATTAAAATCGTAATTTTAAACATTTAAAATATTTTTAATCTATTAAATAACAAGAGAGGAAGAAAATGTATATGTACATAAAAGCCAAAATTATCATATTCATAAACAAAATCATAATATTATGTTTTCAAAATTAAATAATGAATGATATCGCAATATGTAGGCATCATATTAAGGGAGATGATAAAATATTTTGATTAATTTTCATATATGCTCGAAGAAAATAATTCATTTGCGTTTAACTTAAAATTTTTAAAAATTTTCATAATCTTAGCTCAATTCCTAGAAGATATGAGCACGGGCCTAATTTTTTATTCACGGCCCGTCCACTCACGCTTACTCTACAACGCCCATTTTCGTCTGTATTGTGTTTTTAAGCCCGATCCGCCATTCACGAAACTTTTTTTTATCACACCCTAAAAATTCACGGTTTATTTTTTAAATAATAAAATTTTGCTTTCTTTATTTCCAAACTTTACATGAAATAAAATCGTCTCATAGTGTGCACAAATTGAGCATTTCAAACGCTGCGTAAATAGCCTCGTGCAAATTGGTAAAGTTACCGTTTGGCTTTAGCAACCATTTAAAGAAACGCAAAAACAGGTTTGCTTTTTCATTCTTCATTTTGCAATAATATAGAAAATGTAAAAAATAGGGGTGTACCGATACCACTTTTTGGAGGCCGATCCGATCCGATATTCCCAATATTAAATTGATTTTGGCCGATAACCGATCCGATATCATATCTAATTTTGTATTCTATAAAGATACCAATGGTTTTAATTTTTAATAACTTTTTATTAGTATAACATCAATTTAACTATGCCATAACATATGTCATTTAAATATATTAAAATGGTCAGTTATTATAGCTTAAGCTTATATTCAATTCAATAAGTATATAAAATATTTTTATTGATAAATCACATATTTACATAAAAAGTAATAACATTAATCTATTTACAAAATAAAATAAGTAATAAACACATATATTATGATATTAATATATCTAAGATTTCTTTTTTGAAATACCAAAATTTCTAATTTATCTGAGGTCAGTCTGTGGCGATGGGGACTGTCAATATCACCAGCTTCACTAAAAACAGACTTAGATGAGATACTTGTGGCAGGTGTTGCTAGATATTGACAAGCAAGTTTAGATAGGGTTGGATATTTTTGGCAATTCACAGCCCAATATTTCAATGGATCCGCAGGGGTATTATCATTTAGTGCTTTAAAAACTGGTTCATTGAGATAGTTTTCAATCTCAAGGGAATAAGGACAATTTACACCGATAATGTTATTAGATTTCTCGTTATCTTTAACCACATCAGCATAAGATCCCCACAAACTAAATATGCCAGTTGAATCCATTGCTGATGTTGATGGAATTTCTTTTATCTCCATATTTTGATTATCCTTTTCTAAATTGTTTAAATTATAAAATTTAAATGAAATATTTATTAAAATGATTTAATTCTTTACCTAGGCTGGATGAATTAATTATCTTACCAGGATTACTGTCAAAGCATACTAGAAGTAGTTTTTGTCTATAAAAGTTAGATATAGATTGAATTGGGTTTTAAATCGTGGATCCAAAATTGTTGCTATAAAGTATATTTTATCATTATAAATAGAGGAAAAACGTTTGGTAAGATCTTTATACATAGCATCCTTCATAGTTTAAACACCTTTATCATACTCACCATGACTAGTAAGCTCCTTTTTAAGTAATTTTACAAATGGAATTACTATGCTAATAGATGCTTTTTCTCCACTAATTTCTTTAGTGATGCGTTGAATTGGTAATAGAGCCAGATTTACCTTTTTTTTCTAAACACCACTCATTTGGAGTTAACATATCGAGGGTAAAATCATTACAATAAATAAGTAAGGCTTTTTTTTGCTCCAGGAGTCTTTCTAGCATATAAAAGGTCGAATCTCACCTTGTGTCAACATCTTAAATAAGTTTGTGGGTGGGTAAATAATTGCTTTTGGAAAATTTTGAGTCTATTGTTAGCAATAGATGAATGATTAAAATGACCAGTAACCTTTCTTGCTCGAGATAACATATCAATAATAGCTCTCTGTGTAAAAACTCCTTCTTTTACTACTAATTGTAGGGAGTGGGAAAATATGAAACGGATGAATAATTCCCTAAATAAGGTTTGTTAATATATATATAATTTAATTACCTAAATTGCAAGCAGATTTTATATTTGGCGCATTATCACCTACAATAGCATGAATTTTACATTTACTGATATTCCAACTGGTCAACATTTTGTTCATAATATCGGCAATATTTTGTCCAGTGTGTGAATCATTGAAAGTTGCAACATGAAGTAATCTTGCAATTGGTTCAAAATTTTCATTAATCAGATGACAAGTCAAGCTAATATGTGAATACGACCCAGAACATCTAGACCATATATCACTTGTAAAACTAAAGGGAATTTTTTCCCTATCTAATTGACATTTAATCTTATTAAATATCTTTATATATTTCGTTGGTTAATTTTTCCGAAAAATATTTTCTAGATGGAATTTTGTAGTTTCCACATAGATGATTCATTAGTCGATTAAAGCCAATATCCTCTACAATAGAAAACGGCTGATTATCTACGGCTATCATATGGTTTTTATGCATCGATATCGCTTTGGATCTTGGGTCATCAATGTCCCATATTGTCTGCTTATTTAACAGACCTGGCAAAGTTTTTTGGTTAAATTTAGATTTTATTTTAATTTGATCTTTTTCCATTTTTTTTCTATTTTCTTTAGTTAATAGAAGTTCAAATGCATCTTTATGATTATTCTCGAGATGCTTCCTCAAGTTTGTGGTGTTGTAAGACTTTTGACATTTACTACCTCTGGAAATTTTATCGGTACAAGAGTCAACTTTACATTTAGCAAAATTAGAACATGGCGAATCCAATTTAAAATAATCCCATATAAGCGAACAAGAAGCCATTATTTTACTAATTTTAATACCGGAAATTTATGTAATATGCAAAATAAAACAATAGATTATTTGGTTAGGGTACCTTTTCAGGGGCAATTATTTTTTTATGTTATTTTTTGTTATTTTTTTATGCGATTTTTTGTTATTTTTTTATGCGATTTTTTTTTATGTAATTTTTTTATGAAAGCTATTGTTTTTATGTTATTTTTTTATGATTGGTTCATTTTCTTATTGGTTAATTTTTTATTTAAGATATTTTAAAATAATTTTTCCTAAAATTTAAAATTCGTACAATTATTTAAAGGAAGTGATGGGGGCAAATAAGGGGGAAGGCTAGGGGTAAGATTTTTGGTAGACGAAACTTTCCATTTTTAATTTTTTTTTTGGTATAAATCTTTTTTTGGTTCCCTTTTTTTTAGTTCCAATATATATTATATAATTCCTTCCATTTTTTTTAAAATGAATATTCATAAATGACGAATTTTTAGATTCCATTTTTGAAGGAATTCATGATGTTGGGAGATTTTTAAGACTAGTGTACTTGTACATAAGTACCAATTCTTTAAAAAATATTAAACAGAATTATTTTTAGGCCGTTATAAAATTTTAACTGCTTCGAAAGAGTTAGATTATGATAAGAAGGCAATTTCAAGATGGTAATCTAAAGTATAATATGGTTTTTTACTTCACTTATATAGGTTTAAAAAATTTCGAAAGGTATGTGGATTCCATATAGCCTCGAATCATTCAAAGATCGGGGGGCCTGGCCACGTTATTGAAATTGATGAAACTCATGTATGGAAGCGTAAATATAACCGTGGTCGGCATTTGACTTCCGAGGCTATATGGATTATTGGTGGTATATGTCGGGAAACAAATGAGATATTTTTAAGTGCCACCACAACAAGAGATCAAGATACCACCTATCGTGTGGTTAAAGATAATGTTATGCAAGATTCCACGATAATGACTGACTCGTGGTTAGGGTATGTGAATTTATTTTTTCAATAAAGCAAAAGTGGTGATAAATGTAAATATATTTATCTTAGATATAATCGGCTAGAAAGTTCAAACTATTTCCACTATCGGATCAACCATTCGCAAAATTTTGTTGATCTAAATGACAGATCGATCCACACTCAAAAAGTCGAGAGGCTGTGGCGGGATCTAAAGGCAAATTATAAAAGACATGGGGATCGGGATAATATTCATGAATATCTTCTTGAATATAGATATTTTCGAAAATATAGATTATTAAATCGTTTTGATGTTTTTATTCATTTTATTAATGATTGTATAAATTTTAATAGTATATTTCAATTTAATGAATAAATTATTTCGATTGTTATGCTTAAATTTTATTTATTTTTGGAATCTTCCTTTAATTATAGTGTTATCACTAAAAAAAATTAAATTCTTTATACAAATTTTAGAAAAAATTATTCATATTAAGTTTGTATAGAAGAAATCATATTAAGATAGAACAAATCATATTAAGTTTGTATAGAAGGAATCATATTAAGTTTGTATAGAGGGAATCATATTAAGTTTGTATAGAAGGAATCGTATTAAGTTTGTTTAGAAGAAATCATATTAAGTTTGTATAGAAAGAATCAACCAAATAAATTTTAAATAGCGAAGTTTCATCTATCAAAAATTTGACCCCAAACCTACCCGCATTGTACATAATCTAATAATTTTACCCCTTACCCCTAGCCTTCCCCCTTATTTGCCCCCATCACTTCCTTTAAATAATTGTACGATTTTAAATTTTAGAAAAAATTATTTTAAAATATCTTAAATAAAAAAAGATATATTAATTTAAAAATATCTTAAATAAAAAATTAACCAATAAGAAAATGAACCAATCATAAAAAAATAACATAAAAACAATAGTTTTCATAAAAAAATTACATAAAAAAAATCGCATAAAAAAATAACAAAAAATCGCATAAAAAAATAACATTAAAAAATAACAAAAATAATTGCCCCTGAAAAGGTACCCTAACCGATTATTTTAATGAAATGTATAAAAAAATTTTATTTATAAACATATTCCAAATAATATTAAATAAAAGAAAAGATTATTTTATAAATTATCGCACACTTATAAACAGAATGAGAAAAAAAAATACAATATGGCAAAATGTTTAATTAATTATTAAAAAAATTAACATAAAAATGGATTTCAATTTTTTTATAAAAATAAACATAAAAATGGATTTCGATTTTTTTATAAAAATAAATGGGTTTTATAAAAAAAAGCTATTTTTTATAAAAATAAATGGGTTTTTTCAAAAACGCCATTTTTTATCGGATCGGATCGGAATTTTTTTAGTATTGGCCGATAACCGATATTTAAAAATGGGCGAAATATCGGCCCGATCCGATCCTATAAAAAATATCGGTACATCCCTAGTAAAAAAATAACTTACTTATATCTTAAAATAGAATATTTGGAAATTAAAGAGATAAGAAGGCAGGCGATATTATAATTTTCAAAGACGAATCCTTTTTTAGAATTTAGATAAAATTTTGAATCAACGACATTAATAAAAAGGTTACCTCATTTTAAGCAAGAGATGTGTTACTTTTTTTGAATAAAAAATTACGACAAAACGTAAACGCTCAATTTGTGCGCACTATAAATCAGAATTCACTAATCTAGTCACATTTATAAATCAAAATCTTTATTTAAAAAATGGAAAATGCCAATATTTTTTCTTATTTTGTTGCGTTCATCTTTCCTATAGTAAACGATTATTGGCTATAGAAAATAATCAATCTTTCACTGAAAACCGAATTGTTGGGGTGATGAAATTTTATCTTCGAAAACTTTAATAAAAATAATGCAATAAGCCTTTTCTATAAAATAAATAAATATTAGGCATTTTAAAAAAATTCTAATAGTTTATTCAATTTTTTTGATAAATTTGTGAAAATATTTGAATTTATAAAAAAAATCGCGTTTTGTAGTCTCCTAATATAATTTCTTAGGATAACATTTTATTATAAAATGTGCAAGGAAAGTGGTCCGGTTTTTAAAGATTCTTTCTTACGTTTTTTAAACTTTCTCTGATCCACGCAAAATTCTAATCACCCTCGGTGATTTTTTGGAAAATTTTATGAGGCTCACATTCGAAGTTTTTTATTCACACTAACGTCGCGACCCGATCGATCACGGAGATCTTCATTATCTGCGCCAACCTCTAATTCCGACCAGCGTCAACCCTATATTTTTTATATAAACATATACATCTATTAAGCCCTCCAAATTTAGTTTTTATAACCTCTCAGTTAATATTTTTTAATTAGGTAATTACTAAAAATCGCCTAATTTGGCTTAATCTAAAGACAGATACCGAAGAAAATCCGGTGAGGGGAGACGCTTGTTAATATATATCTGCTATCTTCAAAAGTTGAACGAGAAGTTATCAAGAAAAACACCAAACTGAAATAATTTTTCTGCAAAAAGTAGATATACTTTTACCACCAACTAAGAATTAGTTTTAAATAGTTAAAAATTGAGCTATTTATTACACAACTATTCTCCTTTATAATATTATTAGTATCTTTGTATTACTTCAAATGTTAACATGATGTGTGAGACTTGGAAAATAAAAGAATGATAATTAGTTCCAAATCATGAAATCTGACAATCCCGTCTCCACTTATAAAAAAATAAATAATAACAAATTTATGCGACATATAAAAAAACATATTTATTTCAGCTTACATTAAAAAAATGATTACAGCATGAATGAGTTGGGCTAAATATAATAAATAAACAGTTATTGGTAACATCACATTTAATTGAATTAATGATACAATAAATAGAATATTAGAATACCAAACAAAAATATGATGTATCATATTTTAAAAATTCAAACATGCATTTACGAATCTGCCGCCTACAAAAAATCATCCATGCCTATATAGGGCATCGGCGGTATTGCGTCATTACAGAAAAACAATTATTGAGAAACTTTAAAACCATTATAGAGAATGTCGTTTATAGAGAATTATTTTATAGAGAATGTATTTTACAGAAAAATTTTTATAGAGAAAATAATTATAGAGAATGTCGTTTACAGAGAATGATTTTATAGAGAAAGTTTTTATAGAGAATGATTTTACAGAAAATGATTTTATAGAGAATGTATTTTATAGAGAATTATTTTATAAAATTTTTTTAAATATGATTTTTTTATAAAAAATGTTTAAATTTTTTTTGTAAATTTGTGTGCTCTGCATAGTCATACTGGGAAAAAAATTATATGAAATATTAAAATTACCTTATATAAGCTCATTATTGGGCAGTTTTTATTGTAAGAAAATTATTACAATCTGGATCAATTAAATTTACGTTCCCAATATTATAATATATTTATATTCATTGGTTAAGATTGAAGTTTTTATAAGATAAATCTAGTTAATCTACTAAATAAGAGCATAGCATTATACATTCGAAATATTAAATAAATATTTATTCATAATAAATCCAAATAAACATAGTATAAATATTATACCAATATAAAAAATACAATTATATGATTAAATTAAACATTTAAATTTGTATTGTTAGATAAAGCCCTTAAATAATCCAGCATAGTTCTTGAATAAAAATCTTCAACAATTAGAAAAATACTTTTGGATCTTTCGCGATATTCTTTCTTTGACAGCGGGGCCATTAATCCTAAAGAGTAGGCTATCTTCTTCTTTGAGAGCTAAAAATGGAAAAGTTTTTAAAATTTTTAATATAATATAATTACTAACTCTTTATAAATTTCCAGATCGATGGATGATGGGAACTTATATGAGACGAAAAACTTCGATGCCAGCCTTCTACTGAATTATTGGTATTCGGTTCACCAGCTAGTGATGATTCGTAGCAATTCCATAGAGAAATGCTAAATATTGGCGACCTCTTCTCCATATCTATCATTTTTCCAATCCACGTCTCTTCAAAGTATTCTATCAAGGGGGCGAGAATATCCCTATTTTCTTGATAGAATTCAGAGGCACATAATTCCTCGAATCCATGAATTACATCCTCCACTGGTACATATGCCAGTGACATTAACATTTTTATGTACATAGCAAAATTTGTTTGCGTTTTATATGCATTGCAATGATTTTTTTGAACAGTGCGCCATATGCATTGCGACATATGAAACAGGCACCCGCGGATCGCAGTCAGTGGAAACGACTGTTTAAAAGCAGATAAGGCTGCTAATTCAAAGTCGATCATGATGAATTTAGGATTTAAAAAAATTTGGAACTTTTTTATTTGATTTAAAATATTAAGGTAATCTTGTTGGCGACGTGATGTCATCAGGACATAAATAGCTGGGCGTGGATGGTGTATATTTGCTGGAAGAGAGGAGGACATGTCTTGAATGTGCCATCTGCATACCATTTATCACATGTTGATAAAAATTTTAAATTTTTTATGGTTGAAAATATGAGGCCGGTGATCATGATGACCACTATCATATAACAAAAATTGTTCATCATCATTGGATAATTGATATTCAATAGGTATGACCAAGTATCAGGCTTAAGGGAACGGCAGGCGCTCTTCTTACTTGGCGTCTTTTTCTTTGAATTGTCCTTTTAATTAAGGAACAACTAGGCATTCTCCCAATGGCGGCTATAGATATATTGCTAGATATATCGGCCATTATATTATTGGGCAGAGATTGGAGGCCAAAATTACCCTACCTCTTTACGGGGCATAGGGGCACAGGCATTACAAGGAACGCATTTCCTGGTAATTCGTTCAATATCCTTGCCCATACCAGGCCACCATACATATTCTCGAGCCCAAGATTTCATCTTGTCTCGACCTTGATGACCGGCGTGCAGTAATTTATAAGGAATTACGGCTTTGTTTCCCCTCATAATACAATCATCAACAATTGATAATTCTTTCTGTATTTTTTATATGCATCATATTTGTTTTTCCAAGGTTTATCTCCTGTTAGACTTAATTTTACTTGACCTAGAACCTTGTCATTCACAGTATTGGTTTTCAAATCCTCCCAATTGGTAGGACCCCCTTTCAAAATATAAGACAGAGAACGCACTAGGGCTTTCTCTTTATCCAAACTTATATTATCACTTATTTCAGAATCTGCACAGTTAGAACCTAACCTGGATAAAATATCAGGCAAATGATTCTCTTTGCCCCGACGATATCTAACTTCCACGTTAAAACTGCCCACTAATAATAACCAACGTTGTAACCGGGGAGATAGCATTAACTCCCTATTATCCTTTCGGAATAGGTGGATTAACGGCTTGTGGTCAGTAAAAATTACAAATTTTTTACCAATTAAATATTCACGACATTTCGTCAAACCGAAAATCACGGCCAAGGCCTCCTTTTCAATCACCGAATATCTCGTTTCGACATCCCTAAAAACTCGGGGAAAAAAAGGATGGGTCTTTCCACACCATCAATTACATGTAATAAGGCTCCTCCAACACCTTTGTTGGAGGCATCAACAGCTAAAATAATTTCTAAATCATTGTTGAAACAGACTAAAATTTGCTCTTCCCCAATTTTTCCTTTTAAAACTTCAAATGCTTCTTGTTGCTCTACTTCCCAATCGAAATGAACACCTTTTTTTAATAACTCATATAACGGGGCAGCTACCTTCGCAAAATCCTCTATAAAACGATGATAGTAATTTACCATACCCAAAAAGGACTGCACTTCAGCCTTATTATTGGGCTGCTTCAAATTTAATATATTTTTCAAATTTTTTTGCAATGGCTTCACCTCAATCCCATTTATTTGATGGCCTAAATATTCGACCTCCATTACGCCCAATATGCTTTTCTCTTTGCTGGCTCTCAAACCTTTACCATGAATTCTTTTAAAAACTTCCTCCAAACGATGGTTATGCTGCTCAGGCGCCATCCCTGTAATTAGCACATCATCCATGTAATAAAATACACCCTCTAGTCCTTGGAAAACGGACGCCATGGTGCGCTGAAAAATAGGCGCTGACACACTCAACCCAAATGGTAATCTACAAAAAGCGAACAACCCTTTGGGAGTCGTGATCGTCAATAATTTACGAATCTCTTCCCTCAAAGGTAATTGTAAATAGGCTGATGAAAAATCAACCTTTGAAAAATATTTCGCTCCCTTCAACTGGGCCAAAATTTCCTCAATTCGAGGTAAAGAATATTTAACTTCTGCTACCCATCGATTAACGGTTACTCTGAAATCAGCACAGAGTCTCAATTTACCATTTGATTTCTTAACCGGTACCAACGGGGTTGCCCATACACTATATTCCACTGGAACAATAATGCCATCTCTAACCCACTGATCCAATTCTTCGTCAATTTCCTTTTTCCATTCAAAAGGAACTCGTCGACACGCTAGAAAAATGGGTGAAAATCCCTCCCTTAATTTTATATCTACTTGATAATCATTAAGACAACCTAATTTGTCTTCGAAAATTATTTCATACTTCTTCATTAAACGAGATATATTTTCACTCATTTTATGTAATTCATGAATACCAATATCAACCATTGTGGTTTCATCAATGCTAATGTTGTTTTCAACCATTAATTCCGTGGACTTTACATACCTATCAGAATTACGGGTTAAATCATTTTGTTTTACGGTTAAATCCTTCCCTTCTATTTCATGGATATTTTTTCGAGCGTTATGAGCAATATTTTGGTCTTTCGTCTTAATTAGGGCCGAACCATTATGTAGGGCAAAAATATTCCAATAATTACTGAAAGGACCTAACTGAACAGTCCAATCCCACCCCATGATGGTTTCCACATCTTTCTTTACTACCCATAAATCTAGGAAAAATGTGGTATCATGGAGAATTACGCCCAATTTAGTTTTTCCCAAAACTACTATCTCAGACCTATCAAATTGTCTGACACACATAGATTCTTTTTCGAGCTTACCCCCAGGCCAATACTTATAATAATTTCTTATAGACATTATGGAAATGCTAGCCCTTGTGTCGAACATCATGTCGATGTCCCTCGAATCAACTCTTACCGTAATTCTTGGACAAGGACAAGGTTCGACTAATCTCTCAGTCATTAAAATATCATATGTTTTAATTGACTGATCAATATTAATCTCATTTGAAACATCAGTTTCATGAGAATTCTCATTTGAACATAAATTCAACTCGGAATTTAGTGGTTCCTTAACAATATTCATATTTTTTCTTGCAATAGAACTGGGATATTTTTCCCATCTGAAAGTATTAATATTCCTTTCATTGGAATATTTAACAATACCCCTAGGATATTTCTCCCATTTAAAATCATTAGAATCTTTATTATTTTTATCATCATGAATAAAAAAATTTCGGTTATAACCACTGCTTTTACGAGAATTATATCTCATTTCAGCATGGTTATTTACTTTATTATTATTTTTCCATCCCGATCTCCTACCTACTATATGATTACATTTGCAATCATATAGTTAATTTTTGATACAGTTTATGGCTACATGTCCCGGTTTGTTACATTTAAAACATAAACGGGATTTACCATAATTCGATCGTAGAACCTCAAATTTGTTCGTGTTGGTACCAGAAATTTTTCTAACATTAGAATTTTCGAATGCCAGTTTCTTTAACGGAAAACCTTCACAAAAATTTTGTTCTTTGACCACACAGACGAAAATTTTGTTCTTTGACCACACAGGTCTCTACCTTGTGTCCCCTATACCCACAGCGGGTACATTTCAAATCCTCTAAGTCCTTCTTACGATCAGAAAAACCATTTTTTTCAACGGAAATATTTTTTCCATTTGACCCTGTCGGACCACATATTTGGCCTTTATTAATACTACTATTAACTATAACCAACTTATTTATATCTTGATACATAATCTTAATCACTTCTTTTAGTTCTTTCAATTCTTGGAGGATAATTACAGATCTCTCCACACTATCCAAACGATCATCGTTATTACTTTCCAAAGTTTCTACCATTACTGGTCTGCCGTTCTCGATTTCATTTAAAACCATATTTAAATTACTTTCCAAGACCGAAATCTTTTTCTAACAATCTGCCGACACCGAAGTGTCTATTTTCCAATTATCATATACTTTGGTCGCAACCAGAGTACATTTTCCAAACAAAAATTTTATTACAATATATATGACATACAGTATGACCAACAATAACATGGTCACTAATGCATTATTCACATCAAATTTATCAACCATTTGATACAAATCTTGATAATTAATACTCGGATACTCCGAAATTTTATTAAAGAAGCTAGGCTCACTATCAAAATTAAATATAAAGCCCATCTCATTATATGAAAAATTTATATTACTTTAAAACGGCCGTGTTAAATTTCTAAAAATTTAAACAAAAATGTGATTGCGTTGTGTTCTGAGTAGAGATACAAAATATAAAATAAAATATTTTTTACCTTAAAATACCGAATAACCCGGGAATCGAAACTATCCTGGTCACGGCACCAACTGACAAAAAAAAATAGAGCTTCAAATGTTAACTATATTGTGAGACTAAATTCTAATATAAGAATAAATTCAGAAGTACCGAATTAAAAAGCTAAATTCAGAATTATAAAATAAAATAAACACGGAACTGAAATTTGGACTTATATCTTTATTGAGTAAAATATATTCATCATCTTTATTAAGTAAAATCAAAAGCGAAAAATGTTATCATAATTCAAAAGGTTTTATGAAAATTAAAAAAGTTATCAAAATTAAAAAAGTGATCTTTTTTTTACAAAAATATAATATCTATTAATTTTAACTATATATAAACACATAGATAAACAAATATGATTGTCATGATATTATAAATGTATTATTTACGACATAGCTGACTACATTTTATACAAAGTTGTCCATTAATAAATATATTTATATAAAATTTATATTTTTTTACATTATAATATTATACAGAGCTGATTGCCCTGAATTTACTATCCACTTGATACTAATATAATTGTAACCTTCTAAAATTTTATTTAAACACAATATAAGATTATAAAACTTTCTAAAATTCGAATATAATGTTTTTATATTTTAACTCTTAATATTTTGCCGATTGTAATAATTTTCTTACAATAAAAACTGCCCAATAATTCGCTTATATAAGGTAATTTTAATATTTAATAATATTTCATATAATTTTTTTCCCCCTTTGACTATGCAGAGCACATAAATTTACAAAAAAATTTATAACATTTTTTATAAATTAATCATATTTAAAAAATTTTTTTATAAAATAATCATATTCTTTATATAAAATTTTTTATAAAATAATTCTCTATAAAATACATTCTCTGTAAAATCATTCTCTATAAAAACATTCTCTGTAAAATCATTCTCTCTAAAATCATTCTCTGTAAACGACATTCTCTATAATTGTTTTCTCTATAAAATAATACTCTATAAAAGACTTTCTCTATAATTGTCTATAAGTGCATTCTCTATTATTGTTTTCTCTATAAAGGTTTCTCTGTAATGACGTGGAACCGGCATCAGCCCATTCAACTAACCGGTGCTGATTTTGATTCAAAAAAAGATATTCCTTGAATATAGGCTTGGTTTGTCACAATCTTGCCTATTTTTATTGTTCTACATTTCAAAAAATTTCGATTAAATAAATTTATAAAAATGAAACATTGCCCTTATTCTTTACCCCTACCTACATTGAAAAGGCACAATAAACTATGGTATATATAAAATATTTATCAGTTTTTTAATAAACATATTTATTTATTTTTAAACAAGTTCTATACTTTAAAATTCAAAAAATTCATGTTTTATTTTATTTTTTTCAATTTAAAGGAGTACTCTTATTTGGTAATCCTGGGTGTGGTAAAACTTTGATCACCAAAGCTATAGCAAATGAAATAGGTTATATTCTAATTAATACGTGCTAAAATAATGTTTAAATAAACAAAATACAGGCTGTCCAATCATTATATTGGATTTTTCTGTCATTTTGGATAAATGGTACGGTGAAAGTGAAAAATTAGTCAAAGCTCTATTTTCCTTGGTAAGGTATCTTTTATCATGAAATATAATATTCAACCTTTTTTTTATTGATTTTAAAAAATTATACAATAGGCAGAAAAAATTCAACCATGCATTATCTTCATAGATGAAATAGGTATAATATCTAATGCTAAATTATAGATAAAATAAGATATTATAACTGACTTAAGAAGAATGATAAATTTATATATTTTTTAAATTTATATTCACTTTAGAACAATACCTGGATGGTCGAACCGCGAAATCCGAAATAGATCTTAACATAAAAAATTATAAACGGAGAAACCCGAAAAATTATAAATATTTTCATACCGGTTTAAGCCGGTTGATAACGCATAAGATCTTAAAAGATTTTTTTGAGAATGCTCAAATAGAACTAAAGGTCGAAATCTTTTGTGATTTTTATGCATAAAAAATCTTTCTTGAAATCATCCGATTTTTATAAAAAAAGAATCTTTAAAATTTAACTTTTGAGATTTTTTTTCAAACTCCGCTTCAAATTATATTTATTTATTCTAAATAGCATAATTTAAATTTTTTTTAAAAAAATGTCATTTATATGTGTATTTGTTATATACATTTGATTTTTTTTTCGGTAACTCACTGAAACTCGGGGAAATTTTTAATATTATTTTTAAAAAAATAATAAAATGCTATTGTCTGGATATTGGTGAAAATTTTTTGATGTAATAATAATTCAAAGTTTCATTGCTCAAAAGTTATAAGAATTACAAACTTTTTTCATTCAATTTGGCGTCATTTTAGATTTTTTTAAAATATTTTTTTTTAATTCCTAAAAACTTGAAGAAAATCTTCCACTAATATTCTTATTTTGTTAATATTAAAAATATGTGAAATTTAAAAATTAATTAAATTTTTAAATGATATAATTTTATATATAAGTATTTATGTTCTTCCTTAAAATTGTATCAGGCGCGTACGCAGCGGGGGGGGGGGACAGGGGGACAAATCCCCCCCCCCCAAAGCCAAAAAATGCAGATGCCGGATTATATTTTTCAAAAATATTATTGTTAATATTAATTTATATTTGTTAATATTTATTCTTATCTCATATATACATATATATATATATATATTTAATTACATTTATTTATCACATTCATCTACTAAGTTATTTTATCAATCAATTTCGATTTCAAGTTTTCTTTGGCGTAATTTACCTATTATTTTCAAATTTTAGTGGCGTAATATTTATCTAAATTTCTAATAAAATAATAATTATCTCTGAAACTCCTTGTCCAACAGGGAGAAAAAAATTGCAAGCTTGTCCAAAGAGATCGAGTCTCCGCCACAGTAACAGCTATTTTGGAGTTAGAAGAGCTGATTATTAATGCTATTACTGAAATATCACAATGGCTTGAAAGAAATATTTCCTCAGAAGCAAGAAAATTATTGGATTCAATACTTATTCCAAATTTTTTTTCTCATTAGAATGTATTATTTAATTATACAACTATTTTATGTAATACTTTTCAAAAACATAACATTGACTTGATTAAGAAGATGAGAATAGCGGAGAGCATTTTATTAGAACTCAAGGAAATAGAGCTAGTGTTGTTGAAGAATTTCATATTTTATATGTTATTGTTGAGTCAAAAGTAGAGCTATACGTGTTAAATATTTGTCCCCCTCGACTTGCAGCAAGCAAGCTCATCATCAAAACATTAATATAGGATCAGTAGAAGAGTATTATAAAACAAATGTCCCCTCTCCCAACCTTTTTCATATGGTGATAGAAAAAAAATATAAATATTTGTTATATTTTTATCATGAAGATGTTAAAATATCTTATGATGCCTTATTAGCTGAATAACTATGATTAAAAGATTAACTATGGTTGATACAGTCCCAAAAAATGCTATGGATGCTTTTTATTTCAAACACATTTTAGATTATACTCCCAATTATTAAAATGGTTATATATATATTAGCAGCTCTTTAGTAAACTAATGAGAGAACATTCACTTTTTTAAGAAGAATAACAGAGCCTTGCAGAGGTACCATTTGCAGGACCAGGCCCAGATTTTTTTTAAAAATTTTTTCCGGCCCAGGTTTTTTTTAAAAAAATTTTCAGGCCCGGCCCGGCTAGTTCAGCCCGAATTTTTTAAAATAAATTATATTTATTTTTGATATTTATAGCTAATAATGGCGATTTCAAATATTTGGTTTTAAAATATACAACTCGGCTCGGATATATTTTCTTAAAAAATTTTCAGCCCAGCCCGGGTGTTTTTTTAAAAAAAAATTACGAGCCCGGCCCGGGTATATTTAAAAAAATTAAAATTCGGGGGCCGGGCCTGCAAGTCTGTGAAAAACATACCTATGAAATACAACATCTGAAAGTAGATTGAATGATTTGGATCTTTTGAATATTCATAGACATTTAACGCCAAGCAAGGATTGATAATTGAAAAATTAGCTCAAAACATACAAAATACAATTATTCATAAGAAACTTTTGTGTATTAATTTATATTTACAACATTTAAATTTTTTATACTTTATATATTTTAAAAGCTCAAAAAATTCAAATTTCAATTTTGGGTCATTTAAGTGATTCATATCGTGAGTTATATTCACTTTATATTTTATGATTCACATTTAAATGCCGGTTTATATATATAATTTTTTTAATTCACATTAGTTTAAAATTGTGTATTAGAAAAGTTATTAATCCTAATAAATTTATGCTTATTATTTTTAATTAAAAATATTATTTCTTAAAAAAATTTATTATCCCCCCCCAGACCAAATTCCTGCGTACGCGCCTGAATTGTATATATTTATTTAATGTCAGTTTATATATTATATTTATTCAAATAAATTGCTTAATTATCTGGTATTTTATTTAATAGTCCTAACTTAGTAGCATCCAATATAGCACACACCTTTTTAAATAATATAATCTATTCTTAATGTGAAATTAAAGAATTGTGAAAATTTTCACTAAAAAAAATTATAGTCCTAGTAGCATTTAATATTAGCAGCCTTTTCCATTCTTAATATAAAATTAAAGAATTGTGGAAAACTTTCACAAGAAAAAAATATGAAATTCTTAAAACTTTTGAGTAATGAAGCTTTGAATTATTATTAAATTAAAAAATATGCACCAATATCCAGTCAATCGCGTATTTATTTTTTTTTAAATATTTTTAAAGAAAAATAATATTAAAAATTTCCCCGAGATTCAGTGAGTTACCGATTTTTCTTATTCATGTATAATTCTTTAATTATATTTGGTTATTTTTTTTGTTGAAGTCTTTAAAATATTTTTTTATCAGATTACTCATGGGCCAATTTAAAATATGTTAAGATTAATTTTTAGAAAGAAATCGAAAATAGTCAATATGATTTTTTAAAAACCGGAACTAACCAATATGTATTTTGAAAGTCGGAACTAATCTATACAAATGTGTTTACAAAATTACCTAACTAAAATAAACGATTTTAAACTAAAAACCAAAGTGGAGCCTAGCCATTTTAAGTAAGGATCCGAAACCCTGAACCACATTAGATTATTATTATTTTAAATAAATTTCTATGCCTAATAAATACTTATTCAATTTTTCTCCCCTAAGAAAATCTGCTTAAATTAAACGCATTTTTTTTATCAAGTTTAATTAATCACGAATTACTTGATCATAAATCCCATAGAAATTTTAATTATCCTCTTATTTTAACAAAAAAAGAAGAGAAAACATCATTTCCCCCACAAATGAGGGGGGAGGGCTAATAATGATCAACTGGAAGGAAGAGTTGAAGTTATAATCTATATTTTTTCCTATGACTTGAACAACTTTTTCCACTATTAAAGGATTATCTAAAACTATCTCCAGATTATTTAAGTTTTTTCTATCCTTGTTTTTAAATGAAGTGCTTAATTTTCACCCCAATTTTCCAATCTTCTAAATCATTTCACCTTATACATACCACCATCATGAACATAATTATTTTAATGTTAATATTGATCTAACATAAATAGCCACCAAACACCATCACCTCCTCTTTAGACATTTAACTTGTAACTCACAGATTTTTTTTTTACTTCCAACATTTTCCCCCATATCTTACTATAGCATGCTTTATGGGATAAAGTTTTTTATAGGGATGTGCCAATCCATTAATTTTTCACCGATCCTATCCGATATTACTAAAAAAACCTATCCGATACCAATCCGATATTTCTATTAAGTTTTATACCAGCTATCTTTGAACCAATATCATAAAAATATTAATATTTTCTGTTACAAAAAAATCAACCAACTTTCATCAATTTAAGTGTATTTTTTTATTCTCCAAAAGTTATTTATCTTATATAAAATATTTACATTGTTTATGGGTGAATGTGTAGTGTTGTTGAACTCGATTTTGCCGATTTATAAAAAGAACTGAATCAAGATTTTAGTCAAAATATTATTTTCTAAGCCTCGAAATTCTTTTTGCCATATGTGGGGAAAATAAATAAACTTGAGTAATTTACTTTTGGCCCAAATCTTGACTTAATCATTTTTGAAAATTGGCTAAATCGAGCCTACTTGAAAACGCTAAATATCGGTGCCGATCCGATATTTATAGCTGCACAGCCCTAGTTTTCTAACTTGTATACTGTTGTATTGTACACTTTTTTAATGTATATTTTATTTGATAAAGTGATTTATTTTAACAGATGTATTAATTTTTATGTAAATGACTGATGATATTTATCAGAGACCTGCAGAGGTACCATTTGCACGGCCCGGCCCGGTTTTAAAATTTTTAGGCCCGGCCCGGATATTTTAAAAAAAAATTTTTACGGCCCGGCCCGAATTAAAAAATTTAAGGCCCGGCCCGGCCCTGATATTTTTTAAAAATTTTTTTACGGCCCGGCCCTGATATTTTTTTAAAAATTTTTTTACGGCCCGGCCCGGAATTTAAAATTTAAGGCCCGGCCCGGATATAAGTATATTTCATATTTTATTCAGATAATTAATTACAAATTGATACTATAAAAAATTTGTGCAAATAATATTTTTGAATATAAAAGATTCTATTTGTGATTTTTAATTTTTATTTAAAAAATACATGTAAAAAGCTAATATTTTGAGAATATTATATT